ATATACAATGTAACAATAACAAATAACAATCTCTCTGATAAAAAAAAATACCATAAAAAATAGACATATGTATCATTTACACCCATGTTTCTTATACAAGAGGTTTTATATTTCTCAAACTGATATTGGTTAAGCTCAGTCCCCAAACAGAATCAACAAATTTTAAGCCACTACATCAACATCTTTCACCATGTGATCATTTCACTAGTGTTTGTTAAAGGTTTCTCAGTTATTATGGCCTGTATGGCTTTTCATAATAAACAGACATTTGTAGTCCCATTGCCCAACAAAAGACTCTTATGAACAGGTTCTTTTACGTGAATCAAAAACATTCAGTGCAGCCAGTGTCATCTGACTTCAGAATGAATGAATCTTGTGAACCAGTTCCCCTAAACTGAATCAAAAACATACAATTCAACCTGACTGCATAAGGAATGACTCTTATGAGCCTGTTCATTTCAGTAAATCAAAATCATACAACACAATGTAGCTCACCTCCGTTTGAAATGAATCAAAAATATACAGCACACCCTGTTTGCTTCAGTTTTGCAGATGAATTATTTGAACAAGTCAGTTGTTTTTAGTGAATAAAACTCATACAGCTTGATTTGTGAGATTTGTGAATCATACTCTCATGAATCCTATCCAAACTGCCATTCCATATAGACGAAAAAGTTCGCTGCTACACTCGCATCTGCACCAAATATAGCTTAGAATCACCATTAAATATTTAACTTTCACTCCCAAGTTATTTTAAAAGCAGGCATCATAAAAGAAAAATTATCAATAAAATGGTTGAAAATAATATAGATGCTGTATATATACAGCTGTATTAGCAAATCTACGTCTATAGCAGGACTGCACAGAATAACATATTATTCTGTATTCTAACACCTCCCTAAATAACCCACTGTCAAAACCAATAAAACATCCAAAATACTGCATGGAATCAGAGGCGATGCATTATGCACCTGCCGAGAAGACCCATATGAGCTGCTTTTCTCCTTTGCTTTCTTCCCATTGTTCTTTTTCTCTCTGCATTGTTGAAACATATCAGGATGCCCCGTTCTGTTCCTCACCGCATGCAGCACAGCTGAGGTGTGGGGCAGAAGGGGCCGGTGCAAATGTCCTGCTGGGCTGCCAGGCTTCTTTTATTTGTCCTACCTTGATGGAGGAATTTGTTATGGAAATATATGGTACGTTAGTGGTAGCAGCAGGGAACCAGGTTTCAAAATAATGAATCGTGCTGGGAAGCCACAGCTCTGGCCCATTTTATCTATGAATTTGTAATTGCATATTCAACACCATCTACAGCACTAGATTCGGCATATTTACGCTGTAGCTTGGGTGTACAGTAGCCCTCTTGTGGATCTTTTGATAGGTTTCTCACAGACAACAGTTATGCGTGGATTCATTTGATGCGGACGCCTCCAATGTTTTGTTTTGTTCAGAGCACCATATAACATTCTCTGATTTTGCACCTTTCCAGCTGCCTCGGTTTCTCTCTAGCAAGTGACCATAAAAAGTCCACTGGCCTTGTGGATCCATCTACATCCTGGGAATTCAGTGTCCTCTCGCTGAGGAGAAAAGCAAAGTGACACAAATCATTTACTGTGTGTAATAATTCATAGTAACGGCACTGGGGACGAGTTATCAGCAAAGTAATTACCGCAAACCACGGAGAGAACCTTGTGCAGAGGGCTCCATGTGTCTCTTCGGCTGCCGGTGATGGAGGTCAGTCTGCGTCTGCTGAGAGATATTGATAAGGTACTGCAAACACAGACTGTGACATTCATTTAAGGGTTTTGTCCTCACTTTATAGTGGAGAGCAGGGAGTGCTCTCCACTATAAAGGAGTTAGTTAGAGACACTATTAGTTTAACCAGTTAGAAATGAGCTAGAGGTTCATATGGAATGTGTGTAAAAAGCAAGCAGATAGGAACAGGAATATTATTACTGATAAAGAAATACTAGGTAAACGTCTCACGAATCCATTTAGAATCAAAGATGTTTTCCTTGTTGCCAGGTTGTCTAGTAATATCCACCCCTGCCGTAATCCTCCACAGGTTGCTGGATCTCTTTGAAGACAAACTATGTGGCCCTCATAAGACATGACAGCACTCTGCACCTCCTAAAGAGAGGTCAGGACTAGAGGAGCACAGCGGCATGTTCCTCTCATCTCTGGAGATCACAGTACTTCTTACAGGAGACTCGTGAAGAGTTCAGTGACATATTATCTGTGCAAATCACAGCTGGGAGATGAAAAAGTGTGGTTAGGCATTTTGGGTTAGGGTTGTAGCACAATAACAAAATGATTTTGATTTGAATATTTCCTATAACTAGAGCCCTTGCACAAGGACATTAGTAAAAGGTGTGCAATTATCAATTTAGGGAAATAATTTTGCCATCTGTGATCATGACCCTCAATGGCACAGTCATTTAATTAATCTCAATTCCTCAGTACATGCAATAGTCATTTTAAGGAAGTAATTTTGCAGTGAATGATCATGTGATCCTAGCTGACACATCCTTGCCATTCATTTTTAAAGCTTAGATGGGATTTTAAACTTCTCAGTTTCTCCTGGACTATAATTGGAAAATATATCTCACATATTTACATATATTAACATTTGCTTCTGAATGCCACAGAGAAACAGTACATTAATGACAATTAAAGACATAGAGAGGTGAAATCTAACTATAGTTCACAGCTATTAACATTAAGGAAATGTTATAAAGTTAACATTCCAAGTAACCCTTCGCAGGGAGCTTGATTGACAGGCCATCTGACCAATCATATCACTGAATCTGCCATTTTGTCCCTCAAACAAATCAGACAGGACAGTAGATCAACGTCGTGGACTTAAACTTGAAAAATAGTGTGTATTAACATTTATCTTTCCATTGTTGAAACAAGATACCTTCTGATGTTCATTCATGTTTATTTTGTGCTTTAACCAGTGAATATGAAAAGATGATTGGTTTACGTGCCGCTTGAACTGCGGCGCTAGTGATCAACACATTAAACAGCCACAAAATGGTATTTATTGTTTGAGTTTCTTAAAAAAATTAGGAAATTTGAAAGCAGAGACTTTGTTTCATACCAGAAGTAACCTGCTCTGTCTTATCTGTCGGCATGTTGTCAGTTTCCTATTTGCTCCGCAATTTATTTTTCACTGTGTGGCGTGAGAGTAGCATGGTTTGTCGGACATAGCAACAGTGACTAAGGGGGACGGGTCTTTGCGAAGGGTAAATTCCAAAAAAAGTACCAGTGACATGTTGTCACGTAAGTGTACTGCACTACACCCTTCAGAGTGAGTACAGCATAGTTATGCCCCCTTTCAAATGGAACTCACCCAAGATTTCAGTCTCTATATATTTTTTGTAATTGAAAACAAATTAAATTCTATGATATCTAAAGTTTTCAATCACAAAAATGATTTTATCCATTAAGTGCTTTAGAGAAGTTATGAAGTGAATGCTGCGGGCACATGAAATTATAATAATAAAAATCTCTGACATTTTTGATGCAGTATTTTGAATAGCTTACAAGCATGTGCAATTTTGCTGATAATAATTCTGAGAATACAAAGATATTTATGGATTAATATCTGCTGACATTACCTGCTGGATACGGTGCAACCATAAAACACACAGACATCATGCCCAGGGAAACAACTTTATAACTTTATTCATAGTTGATTTATAGCAAAGCAAACATCATCAAAGGATGAAGGCAGAAGTTCATCTGATATACAGTATGGCACCACTTAAAGAAGTAAATCAAGCTTTTGAATACATTTTTAATCATTATCAACCAAAAAAATCATATGCAAGGTAACCAAACAACCAAATCAAAACCCAAACAAAAGGACAGAAAATAATTTTGTGTGTTTAAATAAAGAAGTGCATCATCACTCATCATCTGAAGTAGCATTTAATTCATTCAAAGACACACACTTACTATTTGCCTTTTATTTTAGCCATCACCAGTTTGTGATTATGTACTACTTATTTCATGAAATAAGGCAGATGTTTTTTTAGAGATGCAGAGACAATCTGGTAAAAATATTGAGAGCTTGCAACTGAGATCTGTTTATGCATGTGAAAGGGAGGGAGACCGAGAGGGACTGTAAATAAAACATTTGAAACAATGCTGGCATGCATCTAGATACACTTGAGGGAATTAATTTGTTAGCGCACTCGTCAAAAACGGCCACGTCAGTCTTACACAACAGGTTTTCCTTTTTTTAACAGGCATTCGCAGTAGTCAGAGCAGCTTTGAAGATGAAACATGATCAGCGCTCTTTTGAGAGATTAAAGGGGAGCTCTGCGAGCGTGACGTGTCGTTTCAAAGCAGAGGAGCGCCTCTGTTATATAGCGTGCAGTAGGGAGGAATGCCACCACTCGATAGAGGAGATTAGAATCAAGCGATGTTCTCCTCGTTTGACCTGACTTGGTTCTAAAGCTCACACACAAAGCGAAAACCTCTTTAAAGTGACATCATCGGTATATACGCACACTCACTCACGCACAAACAGACATTTATAGCCATTTTAGTGTTTTTCACCTGAAAGAAATCTTAATCGGTGGACAGGCCTGCGGAATCCAGTCATATTTGGTCTGAATCTTGCATTACGAGTGCTCTGCGGCATGGAAAATTTAGCCATGGCTTTGCACTTTGTCAGAAGTATTACAAATCAGCGCGTAACTAAAAGCGGCAGGATGATTTTAGGATGTGTTTTGAGCAATCTACCTAATTTAAACCAGTTCAAATCCAGCACCAAGATGCTATATTGAAAAAAAATGCAAAAAACTATTGATCAAGCAGCATGTCAGTGAGGTATAGCAGGCCTCCTCCAGCTCCACAATCCCTGCACTCTCTCTGATATGTTCAGACTCTCATTTGATCCTTTTTATATAGCTATATATCTGATTTATTATCAATATAAGTAAGCAGAAAGGAAATACAGGTTAAATAGAAGGAAAAATGGTAATCCAGCACCAAGATGCTATATTGAAAAAAAATGCAAAAAACTATTGATCAAGCAGCATGTCAGTGAGGTATAGCAGTCCTCCTCCAGCTCCACAATCCCTGCACTCTCTCTGATATGTTCACACTCTCATTTGATCCTTTTTATATAGCTATATATCTGATTTATTTTTAATATGAGGAAGCGGAAAGGAAATACAGGTTGAATAGAAGGAAAGATGGTGAATGAAGTGGGGGTCAACACTTTTCCCAGTGTTTGTGGGCGACTCCCTGGCGTGGGACAAAATTGGTGTGATATTTGCCTTCACACAGTTTGCCGGCACTCGTTCCTATGAGGCTGATTGTCGTCTCATTCCTGTGCGTTCTTATCGCCTTGGCCGTCTTGAAGAAAACAAACATGAAAGCAGAATTAAGTATACATGTTACAAAACAAGCAGTTAAACCTAATGCACAAGGCTGACAGATTGGTGTCAACGTGAAAGCCAATTAATCAGTAAAAAAAAAGTTTTTTTTTTCCATTTTATTCTGTATTTCATTAATATACATTGTGCCAAAAAGTATATTTATAAACAAATATAAAATAATAAATCATTAATATATAATATTCGATATACAATGATTTTTATATTTATAACTTATTTTATATTTTATAACTATTTTATATTTAATACATATTTTACAAATAAAGTATATATATATATATATATATATATATATATATACACACACACACACATACACACACAACTTACGAATGTATACTGAATATTCAATATAATCAAGTATTCAGTATAATTTAACAGCAACTTTATATCTAATTTAACAACAACTTGCTGTTCAGACAGTCTGTTTTGACTTGAATTGAATTTCATGTTGACTTTAATATAATAATATCATATATTTTAATATAGAACCAACTGTCTTTTAGTTAAATAAAAGTCCAACTAAATTCTACCTGTATGCCTGTTTGTACAGATACACACATAAAGATACTGTACTAAATTATTTCCTGTCAAATGCGAAGGGAATGAATATAAATGGCATGCTGGGAGTTTGTATGTGCGGCCCTAAGAGGGAAGCTGACCCCGGGGTTCCCGAAATGACAGCACAGCAAAACTCTTATCACACATGATTTATCAGCTTTCTCGCACTGCGTCATCTCTGCGCTCCGATCACACACGCTTTGTGTTTGATTTATTAATGTCCGTGAGGTGGGCATGCAGGTAATTCATCAAACTCAATTTAAGGAGGCATGCCAACACGTTTACTCTGAAAAATCAGGGTCACTCCGCAGTTCCAGATCAGCAGAGAGAAAGTGAATGAGAGAGAAAGGAAGTGAAGGAATTGCGGGTAAAGCATATGAAACAGAAAAAGTTGGGAGCTTGAATGAGAAGGACAATGAGAGAGACAGGATATTTATTGAAGATGAGAACTGCGTAAGTGTGTTTCTCTGTTTTATTCACAGCTCATATTGATTTACCTTCAGAATTTGGTCTGGTGTCTGGTGGAGTTGCGTCGGGCTCTTGTGAGCTCTTATCCTGGGCTTTCACATCATCTAGATACATATTAAGGAGAGAGACGGGAATGAATGACTCAATATCACAGCTGAGCAGATGAATTAAAAGTTAGATGCCACTGGGTGACATCTCATTGGCTACTGAGCTTCTCCTAGCTGAAATAAATGCAGCGGATGCTAAAGGCTATGCCTGAGGCAACAGAGGCTTCAAGAGCAGAACATGAGACTGCAGAGATCAGGATGACGAGATACACCTGTGCATGCATCTGAAAATACATCCAAACTCGCTCTTCTTTCTTCTGTATAAATCATAAAGCATGCATTTGAGTTTACTTGAGTAAATGCAACATTTACGATCCTGTTCCCTTCTGTTTTCCCTGTCACTCTCAACTGTCATATAAATAGAAAAAAATGGCAAAAAGGTCTGTAACCTGAAAATTCTAATTTAAAAATGCATCCAGACACGCTCTTCTTTCTTCTGTATAAATAATAAAAAATGCATTTGAATTGGAGTCGTGACCTAGTGCTTCACGCACATGCTCAGAAATGACTGGGTGACGTGAGTTCCAGTCTGATCCTGTTGCTGGATTTTGTTCTCTCTCAACTTTCATATAAATAACTAAAACTCATTTACATCTGGAAATGCACATACACTCTGCTTTCTTCTGTGTAAAATAATAAGCCATGAATTTGAATTTAAACCATGAAATGATCAAAAGGCCAAAAAATAGTTTTAATTCACACATCTTTGTTTTTACCTTTAGTGCTGTTGCTGGTGTTGCTCTCCTTGGCTGTTGAAACACTTTGATCAGCATCTAAATAAACAAAAGTCATAAAATAATGTGGTAAGTTCTATGTGCCTTTTTTCTTTTGATTTTAGTACAATTATATTGGCTCCACATGCTGGATTCCTCATTATCATCTTCAGGAAGAACAGCAACTACATTCTTTAATCTCTAAAACATGATTTATGTATTTATTTATTGGTTGGTTGGTTGGATATGAAACATCCTTTTAAAGTTCATATTTCAAATCACAAATTTGCATAGGTATGAAAAAAATAAAGGTAATTGCAACTTCTTTTTTCTCACAATTGTGAATTTATTTTGGTCTCAGAATTACAATTTGATACATCATACATTTTATAAATCATAAATTCTGTATTTCTTCCTTAAAGTGTACATCTCGTAATTCTGTTTTTTTTTTTATAAAAAAAAAATTAAAAAGGTAATTCTGTCATGAATTTTCCATAATTCGGACTTTTCTGAATTTTCTAACAATTACACATTTATATCTCACAATGCAGACTTTTCTTCTCAGAACGGCAAGTCTATTTCTCACAATGTTGAGCATATATTTCACAATTCAGACTTAATTCTCAGAATTGCAAGAAAAAAAGTCTGAATTGTGAGATAAAAAGATGCCATAACATTTTTTATTGAACCCCCCCTTCCATAGCTTCCATAAACTGGTGATTCCACTGAATATATTGTAGAGCTTACTTAGAACTCAATTAAAGTGACAATCCCTGTGGAGTAGCCTTTCAGGGCTTGAACTTACAACTTTTCCAGTGCGTATTTTTAACCACTGCATCACACTACCCCAAATGTAGTATATTTAGACATCAACTTCAATAAGAGATTACTTTATAGCTAGTGGTTCTTTGGTATGAGACCAATGCATAATATTTAAACACGAAAAATATGGTCCAAAAGCCTCTCGCCTTCAAGAGGAACTAAACAAATGCAGATGAAAGGGGAAGCATAGAAAATTAATTAGAAACCGCCTTGAGTCTATATCAGTGTGAGCCTCATTCTCAAACTCGTCTATAACTTTCTCTCTTCTATCTCTCTGACTAAATACCAAAGCAAACCACAGCATGAAATAATCTCCTTCCCGCGGCACATCCACGGATGATGCAAGCGCACCCAATTCACTGCTGCAGATTGTCTCCGTACTCAAACCATAGCGTTTGTCTGCAGAATAACGATATTTACCTTCATGAGAATCTTACAAACATCATCTAAACACACTGGAACATCTTAAACGTACAATACACATCACTGGCAGTGTAACGACATGGCATCTGTTTTCACTGTGATGCTACATGCTTTCATGCTCATTTCATCACAAGTTCTGAAGCTTCGCTTTCAGCCGGAGAGACAATTCTTCGGGTTACGGTGGCAACGTTTCAACAACTACAGACGATGGCTTTAATGCAACCTTTCAGAACGAGAGCTAGCCAGACGCTTCGCTCTCCCTGGTGGCCAGCCCTCAAATTCTTCTGATTTAACAGCGCAAAGCTGCAAGTGATGGATTTGTGTTTCGAACGTGAAAAAAAGAGCTCTTTTTATTGGAGAAATAGAGCAGCAGCGGAGTGCCTGGATGAGGAAAGGTGAGGGAGAGCACGGGCAACCGCCGCCGCCATGATTTCATTTCATTCTTGTCTCGCGGCACTGTAGAGGGAGTAATTGAAACCGAGTGCGATACGATTCAACAACGCCGTTTCCATTACCGCCCACTTCTGGAAGCAAGTCTCCTCTCTGTCCCTCGCTTGGTGTTTTATCCATATTCCAGCACAAATGGGGAGCTGGAGTAAACAAAGAATCACACACATGTACGGAGGAAGTGCAGAAATGTACACCATAAACACACTTTTCTGTTAGTGTTTTGGTCTTGTTTTTCAAGTAAAATATCTAAAAATGTTACTTGAGAAGAAAAACTGAATTCAAGATGAAATCAGAGCTACGTTTAAAGTCCACGGACAGGCACCAAAATGAGAAAGTTAAGGCTGTCGCTTGAGCGAACCTGCAAGCTCAGTTGAGACTTGGCTTCCTCCTGATGCTCCGTCTGTCTCTCTTTCCATGTAATAATGTCAGGGCTGAGAGGGAGCCCTGCCACTTTGGGTTTCTAATAAGCAGCGCTGATCAAAACACAACAAACCAGCCTTTGAAAAAAACGAGATGCTGGAATTTCAATCAATGTCTGTGCTCGCTTCCAACTGCTGCCCTGTACGTCAGGAGATGCTGCAGAAATTTGCCAGCTCTCTAATTTAGCTTTACAGCTGACAACAGTATGAGTTCAGTCTTTCGGGAAGAGAGTGTGACGTGCCGTGAAACAAATAAAGTAGCCAGAAGCTGTCAAGCAGGAAAAAGTGTAAAAATGTGACATGGAGGATAGCTGGGCGTCTATTTCTCGAAAAATGTGAGAGAAAACAACTGAATTTCATTTCCCAATAGATTGATTTGAGGCTTCTGATGCAATCTGACGTTAAGGTTATAGTATCGTGCCATTATGATTTAAAATCCTGACAAATAATGATATATTGAGTGTTAAACATCAGACTAAGTCTCACTCAAACTATGTGTTTTGGTTATTTATCCTGATTTACCTGACAGCAGTCCATTGGACACTCAATTCTCTTCAACACAGCGGCTGAGCGAGCTCAGGATAGTCTGAGCGCTCTAGCTTCGATAAATTGTCGTATTTTCTTTGCTTCATATGCTTCCCTTGAAATTAACTGCACTTAGGCGTAATGAAAGTTTGATGGTCTCGTCGTGTGGGTGGTATCTTTACAGTCAGTGCCGGGCAACTCACAAAGCAGGGAAGACGTAACAAGTGAGCGAGGAAGATAGAGAAAGGGAGGGAAGTGTGGTGGGGGGGTTGGGGGTAGACGTAAGTCATATTCATATTCAGACAAGCAGAAAATTAGATCCTCCACCAACCATTCGCTCTAGAGATCGTGAGGGGCTTGTGGGTCTATTGTTAGGCAGCATAAATCGCCTGCGCCACACAAATAATGACCGGTCGTGTAAGGCGAGCATCAACATCATTCCTCGTCCCCTCCAAATCCAACAATGACGTTACAGACAAAGGCCAAAGCAGACGTGTAGCCATCGTGAAGCAATCCTCAGGATACGATATGTCTACTAACTGGAGACTCAAATGGTGGTGCTGGTTGAAAGGTTTGGCCAATGCCTTCAAAAAATTTCAATGGTAACCATCAGGTTTATGCACTATTCAGAACTGAACTGAGAATGTCTTTAAAATTCCCCAGTTTTAATTTTATTTGAGTGGTAAACAGATATATAGATATAATTTTAAATAAAGGAAATAGAATTAAAATAAACTGAAATAATAAAAAAATTCATATAACTGAGATTTTAAAAGGGAAGCTTTGCAAAAACTAGGG